CTCAACATGCAAAACTTAACTGTATGGCCAGTTGAAACATCGAGTTTGGATATCGGGAAATTTTAAACAACCGATCGTCCAGTCGATTGCGAGTAATTTCCGTCTCTTTGTGAAAAATCTTTTTGGTCATTATTACTATATATATATACATGTATAATATCTTTGATAATATATATAATATCTGCATTCAATCATTGCATCATTACTTTTTCTTTATTTTGCAGACATTTACTGTCATTTGTCATTTCTTGCTGTTCGTTCGGTTCAATTTTAACGAGTTGCGGCAAAATGTATTTTGCACCGGAAGTATGTCATCTCACGTATAATTTTTAACCGCGTATGAAAAGATATCTTTACATAATTTTTAGAAGTTTTGCAAAGTGAAGTTGATTTGAGAACATAGGCAAATTTTCAGCAGTATAAGAAGGGCTCTAAAGGCCCGGAGGTAATTGAAGAACGCTGACGTTATCGACAGTTGATATAAATTTGCTATCATTAACATAAATATTTGGTTTATACATTATTAAATTCATAATTTTTTATTACATAAATGTTCCATAAATAAATACGCATACTTGTAAAATTATAATATCTCATATATTGCAGAAAAATTACAATTTTTTTCTCTGCAGTTATCATCTCTGTTGATAATCAAACTTTGACGATACACCGAAATCACAATTTTAAATAAAAATCGAGTATTATTGAGTTCTAAATGCATAAATACATTTACTAAACTAATAAATCATAAAATTAGTACAATATCAGTTTTTAATTCTTAATTACTTTAATATTCACAAGGACGCGAATTCCCATAAGGAATGTCGATCTTTAATAATATCTCGTCGGAGGCAGGAGCCATAATTCTGTTTTTAAGTCGATCCCACTTTGCAAAACTTCTAGAAATGATGTAATACTACTTCCACCGAGTGGCAAAAACTGGATTAGTTCAACTTTTGTCGCGCGATGGAAATTATATATCTATTACTTCTGAGTAAGTAAAACGTTGATATGCTATCGCGCTAATTTTCGTCGCGCGGCAAGCGTTGCCGCATTCAATTGCTAGATTCACACTGGATCCGACGTGCATCATACGACGCTCTACAACCAATAAAAAAAACAGAATTTTATTTCGTATCATCGATACGTTTAGAGTAGAAATTTAGAGGGAAGTATTACGTATTGTCCATTTAGTAAAATGTTGTGTGAGAAACCTCGAGAGATTGGTTCAATTTTTGTGAAAAAGTGAAAAGTAATATAGAAAAACGAGCAAAAAAGATTTCTTTTTATTTATTGTATTTTAAACTTATTTTTTGAACATATATGTATATAAATTTCTTTTATATCAGCTTTCTCATAATATTTTCACAGATATATAATTATTACATTTCACAAATATTTCACAGATATATATTTCACAATATTTCTTATTTATACAAAAATATATATTTTTAAGTTAATTTAATATTTTTCCTAATTTTTCTATATTTTTTCTTTATTTTTCAATATATTTACAATTTATTTTTATTAACTTTCATAAAGTTTAAATTATTTCATCGCAATATTAGGTTTATTTGCGTTACATGCTCTAATATGTTCCAATATGTTTCTACAATAGCACTTACTCACTTCAACGAATTCGTTGGATTGCGATACGAATAAATCTAGTGAATTTTGCGAGGAATTTTGTATACCACAGTATATACAGTAGTGCAACTCTCTGTCGGCACTTTTGTTAGTGTTGGCCAAAATGGAGTGCGCATGCGTGAAATAAGTAAGGTACCTAGCATTGCCACGATTACCACCTAAATTTCTTTCTCTTTTCATTCTTTTTTTACTGTGTCAAAATTCCTCGCAAAACTCATTAGATTTATTCGCATCGCAATCCAACGAATTCGTTGAAGTGAGTAAGTGCTATTGTAGGAACATATTAAAGCATATTAAAGCATGCGACGCGAATAAACCTAATATTGCTATAAAACAATTTAAATTTTATGAAAATTAATAAAATAAATTGTAAATATATTGAAAAATAAAGAAAAAATATAGAAAAATTAGGAAAAATATTAAATTAACTTAAAAATGTATACTTGTATAAAAAAATATTATGTAAAAATATTAGAAAGTGACTAGACAATTACAAAATATAAATAATAAAGAGCATACAGCCACAACAATAGATGTAAAATGGAGTCATATATTTAAAATTCACAAAGAAATGAATAAGTAAAAAATGTGGAACGCTTCACGATTTTGCGTATCATCTTTGCGCAAGTACTTGCTTGGCAGTACATATACTAAAATTGGAACGATACAGAGAAGATTAGCATGGCCCCTGTGCAAGGATGACACGCAAAATCGTGAAGCGTTCCACATTTTTTAGTTATTCATTTCTTTGTGAATTTTAAATATATGACTCAATTTTACATCTATTGTAGCTGTATGCTCTTTATTATAATATTTATATTTTGAAATATTATACAATATAATTACATATCTATGAAAATATTACGAAAAAGCGATATAAAAGAAATTTATATACATATATGTCTAAAAAATAAGTTTAAATGCAATAAATAAAAATATTTAAATACAATAAATAAAAAGAAATCCTTCTCGCTCGATTTTTTGTTTCTTTTTGTTCACTTTTTCACAAAAATTAGAACAATCTCTCGAGATTTTTCACATAACATTTCATCAAATGGGCAATAATATTTCCCTCTAAATTGCTACTCTGAACCATGTATGCTTGAAAGACAAATGTTTAAGTAGAATATTGAAACGCTTATTTAAATAGAGAGAGAAAGAAAGAGAGAGAGCAATAAAAAAAGGAGGAAAACGGGGCAACTTACTTATTTTACGCATGTGCACTCCATTTTGACCAACATGAAATTAGGAGAATTGCGCTACTGTATATACTGTGGTCACGCGTATGTATACATATGTAAATACATATGTGTATGCATAGTCATAAATTATCATTAAATTACTGTTTTTTAACTTACCAACCATTAAAAAACTTTGAAATTAAAAAGAATAAAAAAATAGGATTTGAATGACAACTTTTCTTCTCAGAATATATTCTACGCATGAAAATACACAAATGTACAGAATTACAGGAAAATGAGAGGAAAAATATTTATCAAATCCTCTAAGTTGACAGTTTTCTCCGACAGAAGCGCTCGAATTTCTTCTGCCATATAGCATTTTTTCAACACCGTATTTCGAGCTCACTTTTTTCGTGGCCGACAATTTGAGTTTAATCTCTTTATTACTCCGTGATAAGTTAGTCTCTGTGATGCCTAAAGGTTTGTTCGCGTTGCACGCTCTAACATGCTCAACACGCACCACTGACAAGATAGCAGACAAATTGAATATTTTTGATTTATTTATATATAATTTGGGAATCGTTTGGGGAAATTTGGGAAAAGCATTTAAACATTTGAATAATAGTATTTTCTTGTTATTAACAAATTTTATCATGCGTTAAGTTAGCAGACAGCGATTTTATTTAATGTGTTTTATGAATGGAATCGATTAGAAATCATTTGGGGAAGATGTTTTCATTATTATTTTCATTTGGGAAAACTATTTGGTAATTCAATAGATTTACACATTACGAAAACAAATAAAGCCCGGGTGTAGTGGATATAGTAGATGTAGTACATAATATCTCTTGACATATACATATTATATGTATGTACTATATGTATATAAAACTGTTCGTCCGTCTTTATTGGAAAATAACAAAAATAAAGAATAAATATTAAAATTTTTTTTCTTGAAATGTATTAGGTGTTTGAATTAATTCGTAGCGTTTTCTAATAGATGACGTAGAAACTACTCATTAGATGGCGTGACTATATTATTCCAAACCTGCTGTTATTGAGCGTCGTTTTTAGTATGTCATTTGGTTGAAGCGTAAATAACAAAACTTTTTACTTCATTGAATATGTCTAACTTTGTGCCGGATAAAGTGTTTTTGCGGGGAGTTCTACTTCATTACTTTAATATGAAGAAAAGCGCTGCCGAAAACGATCGAATTTTAGCGGAAGTTTATGGAGAGCATGCTCTAGCTGAGCAAACGTGTTAGAAGTGGTTTTCTCGGTTTAAAAGTGGTAATTTTAAGCTGGAAGACAAGGAAAGACCTGGGCAGCCGAAAAAATTCGAAGATGAAGAATTGGAGTCATTACTCGATGAAGATCCATGTCAAACACTTTAAGATTTAGCTATAGATTAACCGAATGAAATGATCATGGGATAGCGTTACCGAACTTAACTGATACGTTTGAACCGCACATTAAAGGAAAAACGGCCGGAATATGGCGATAGACACGACAAAGCGATTTTGCAGCACGACAATGCTCGACCACATGTTGCAAAACCGGTGAAAATCTATTTGAAAACGCTTAAATGGGAAGTCCCACCCGCCGTATTCTCCAGACATTGCTCCTTCCGACTACCACTTGTTTCGATCGATGACACATGGCCTGTCTGAGAAACGCTTCACTTCTTATAAAGATTGTAAAAAATGGGTCCATTCGTGGATAGCTTCAAAAGATGAAGGGTTCTTCCGACGCGGTATCCGTATACTGCCAGAAAGATGGCAAAGGGTAGTGGCTAGCGATGGGCAATACTTTTAATAATCTATTTGTAACCATTTTTGCACAATAAAGCCTCAATTTTCAAAAAAAAAAACGCTATGAATTAATTCAAACACCCAATATTTAAATAATAACAATTTACAAATTAAGAAAATAACACGTATTAACAAATTTTTTTCATTTTATGATAATTATTCAGTTTAGCTACCGCACCTCAAAAATCAATGAAATTAGGCTTATTTGATGCGTAAAATGAAAGAATCTGGCAGAAAAACTGCTCTACAAAGCGAGATATTGAGCATTAAAGTTGACTAAAGTGTTACTACATAACACAATCATTAATCTGTCATGTAGACAGTGGAGTATATAAATTAATGTTTAGTGGTTCGGGGTGGCATAGCCATCCCCCCCGAAGTTGTAGCCTGAATAATAAAAATCGGATAATTATGAAGGAGACGGTCGATCAATTTTAATGAAATTACGCTCATTCGACGCGTTTTTACACGAAATGAACGAATGTGGCAGAAAAAAGTATCGCTCTGTTCCGCGAACCGAGATCTTAAGCGTTAAAGTTTAGTAGACGATTATGGAGGTTAGAAAATCTGTCATACCGACTACATGTAGCGCTATGAGTATGCTTTCTTCATGCTCTGTGACCTCTTGCGCATGCGTTTAGTCACTATTCTGTACAGTAGTGCATAAAATTTAAAATCAAATTAAAAAATGAATGTGACTCGTGCAATGTTTCTATTATGCATAGTTCTATTCCAAATAAGTCATAACCCATGTAGACAGTGGGATGTGTAGATAGTAACGCTTGGGTTCGGGGCGGCGTAGCCGCCCCGAACAAAAAAGAATAACATATCTTAGCCGCTTGAGGCCTAACCGCCTAGAAGTTACAGCCTAGACAGTGTCCGCTTGGAATATTCCTAACCCATGAAGACAGTGAGGTGTGAGAATAGTCTTTTTAGAGGCAGTAAAAGCCCATTTGGAATTTGTAGTGTAAGGATAGTATTTCTAATTCCGCGTAAGATTCAGACTAACCTCCATAATCAACTTTAACACTTAATATCTCGGTTCGCGGGACAGAGCGACACTTTTTTCTGTCACATTCGTTCATTTCGTGCAAAAACGCGTCGAATGAACCTAATTTCATTAAAGTGACATCGGCTGTCTCTTTCATAATTACCTAACTTTTATATAGACATTGACGAGATGGTAACATGTGCAGCAGTCGGTTGTAAGAATTCATCTAACAAAGGTGTTAAAATGAATTGTTTTCCAAAAAATGCTTATCGCCGAAACGTATGGATAAGAAATGCCAAACTGGAAAATAAAATATTAAACCGCTCTGCAGCATTATGTGAGGTATTTTATTTATATATTTTCCTATTTAATTTTATATTTTACTTTTAAATATTTGCTAAATTTATATATTTTATATTTTACTTTTGAATATGTGCACAATTTTACACTTATTATATTTTTAATTTATTTTTGTGTGTTACATTATTATTATATTTTTTCTTAAAATAGTAAAATTACTTTCTTATTTTTAAGTTTCATTTTACCTCAAATATGTGGGAAAAAATACGAATTGATGGAACGAAAAAACTTAAGTGTACAGCAGTTCCAACAATATTTGGAGAATTAGTAACTCAACAAAAAAACAAGAAAGCTAAAATTAATCGTAAGTTTAATTTTAATTTTGTACCATTTATTATTCTCTTAGTTTATATTAGAAATAATAAGAATGATATTTAAGTGTGTAATTATTAATAACATATAAAAAATAGGATATTGTAATAATTAATTCAAAGTAATAGTTAATTTTGTCATCATTGTAATATTGTTACTAATTAGATAATATTTATTTTTATTCAGAAAATAGTACTGATTTAAATGGAATTAAACAATCTCAGATAATAATATCTAAGACAGATTATGATGGTACTGTTACAATATCTATAAATAATCCAAAAGAAGGACAGTGTAAATCAGATAATCTTCTATCTGATATTGAAGAAGAAGAAACAGTAACTCAAATAAGCAAAAAAACTGTCGAAGAAAAAACAGCAGAATTATATAGTGATGGAAACATTATACAAGATGACACATTGATTTTAAAACAGGAACCCAGTTTGGATAAACAAAATTTATTGTATATGGAAAAAATCAAGAAATTAGAAAAGCTACTTCGGAAGTCAGAATCACTACGAATAAGTATGGAAAAGAGACATAAACGTTTGCAAAACCAATATAAAAACAGAATTAAGGAATTAGAAAAAAAAGTATGCATTATTGAAGTTTCCTACAGTTATTCGACAACTTTTTCATGAAGATCAGATACAGTTCTTAAACAAAAAATATTAAAAAATTCGAAAATAGTGTAATGTAATGTTAGTCAAAATATATCATTTAAAATATAAATAAAAGGAAGCATACTGCCACAACACTCTTAAGCGAAAGTATATAAATATTTAAAATTATAATATAATAACGTAGACGTTTCGGTTAAGAAACCATCATTAGTACAAATACATTAGTACAAAAATAAAGATGTCAAAAATAAAAACAAAATTAAACAATAAACGCTAGTCAGAAAAGATTATAAAACAATTTTCAATTCGTTTATGGTACAAGATAACAGAGTAATTTGACAAAACTTGAAGTTTAACATTACTTAATCGCTAATGAATTAGTCTTCCCTATTACACGTAGGATTCCTTATTACAAGAAGTAAAGTACGACTCCGTGTGGCAAATACAGGATTTCCAGATTCTAATTGAATTAAAAAAAAAAAGATTTTTCAACACTATTACTTTACGATATTACTTTTAAATTCTTATTCGTGCGAATTAATTCAGTTGCATAATAAAAATTGCTTACCACGTATTTTTTGACGCAAGTGCAATTCGAAATTAATAGTATAAAATTAAAACAACAAGAATTGGAACTTTTTGTAAGAACAATTACTGACAAAATTGTAAAGGCACGTAGCAGGCGACAATCTTTATAGATATTGAAAGGAAAGGAGAGGGAGATTTATAATATATACAATAATATTTCTGAAAAATTTAATTCTATTACAAAAAAATTTGACTTTAATATCGCTCACAAACCAATCAATTGTATGAATACTTTTATTAAAACAGGCAAAGATAAAATTAAAAAAGAAGATCACTCAAATGTAATGTATAAAATTAATTGTCTTGATTGTAATTATTCATATGTAGGACAGACAAAAAGAAAATTGAAGACGCATTTAAAAGAATATATAAATGATTTCAAAAAAGTAACGAATATTATGTCTGTTATCTCGCTGCACAAACTAGATCATGATCATTCGATTGATTGGAATAATATGATTATTCTTGACTCTGAACAATTTTATATATAAAAAGTTGGTCTCCGAGATGATACATATAAAAAGGCAAGAAATAGATTTAAATAAGCAGAGTGACACAGAACGCTTTTCAAAAATCTATCTAATCGTTGGAAAAAGTCACGCTATTCACCAATAGAATATCCCTTTCCACTTTCCTTCCCTTTCCTTTTCTTTCAATACTGTAAAGACTGTCGTCTGTTACATGTCTTCATAATTTTGTCAGTAATTGTTCTTACAAAAAGTTCCAATTCTGGTTGTTTTAATTTTATATTATTAACTTCGAATTGCGAGGTTTTGCGTCAAAAAATAGATGGTAAGCAATTTTTATTATGCAACTAAATTAATTCGCACGAATAAGAATTTAAAGTAATAGTGTTAAAAAATCTTTTTTTTTTTATTTAATTAGAATCTGGAAATTCCGTATTTGCCACACGGAGTACTTTACTTCTTGTAATAAGGAATCCTACGTGTAATAGGAACTAATTCATTAGCGATTAAGTAATACTCAACTTCAAGTTTTGTCAAATTACTGTGTTATCTCGTACCATAAGCGAATTGAAAATTGTTTTATAATCTTTTCTGACTAGTGTTTATTATTTAATTTTATGTATTTAATTTTTAACATCTTTATTTTTGTATGTACTAATGATGGTCAAATCTTGACCGAAATATCTACTAAATGTTGTTATATTATAATTTTAAATATACGACTTTCGCTTAAGACATCTAGTGTTGTGGCGGTATGCTTCCTTTTATTTATATTTTATATTGGTAAGCCATTTTTAAAAAATTTCAATTTATATTAAAATCAACTTAAAATTTGCGTGCAGCCTATCAGGATATAAAGAGCTTTTACTTCAAAGTTTCCCACTCCATCTATTAGAATATTAAATAGAAAAAACTTGAAAAGTTAAAATTCCAAAGTGGAATATTGTATGAAATTTATCAATTTTTCAATATAAAAGTTTCATAATTTAGTAATAGTACAGACCAGGTTGCCGCTGAGTCCCTATTCTCACTTTACTCACTTTTAAAGAAGGCTCACTTTTGTTCACTTTTTCAAAACTCACTATTTTCCGATAAATTGTATTATTTCTGTATTTGCTCTAATTTCTGTCTAATAAGTTATACATTTTTTTAAATTTTTGCTGCGTGTTTTCATTCCTTTTCTGTTCAGATTTGAATAATTTGAATCTTATGCCATATATTGTATAGAATAGTATCTAAGAATTAGCACTTTATTATTTTGAACATCATGTGAGACGATGATACTTTCATCATTTAATATTCCATTAAATCTAATCATAACCAATAAAATTAGAACATATTTAAAACTTTCTGGTATAATTTTCCCTTAATATTGGTTAAAAGAAAAGTTCTATGATATTTTGTTAGCTCAAACAAATTTAATTTAAATGTTTATAATTTAATGTTTATTTTTAACGAAGATATTGTATATATACAATAATTTTGAGCTAACAAAATATGATAGAACTTTTCCTTTAACCAATATTAAGGGAAAATTTTACCAGAAAGTTTTAAATATGTTCTAATTTTATTGGTTATGAAAGACTTAAATAAAACTTATAGACTTAAATAAACTTATAGAATCTTAAGAAAAACTAGATACTTATATTAAATAATAATGTATGAAAATAATAACTTTGTTTCCAGACACTTGTTTCATTCCTAAGTTGTTTCAGTTTTTGAATTTAGATGCTATTGTTAGTAGAAATTTTGTCATCTTCTCTGCCGAACGTGTTGAAACGTGTTCTAACGTTTTTTAAAATTCAAAAACGTCTTTAGATTTAATGGAATATTAAATAATGAAAGTATCATCGTCACATGATATTCAAAATAACAAAGTGCTAATTCTTAGATAGTATTCTATACAATTTTAATCAAATTTAAAACAAGCTAGTTTGTTGCTCAACATTTAAAACAATTCACTTTTCTCTCATTATTTCGAATATAAAACTCACTATTCTCACTGTTTTGGGAGTACTGAGCCGGTGGCAAGCTTGGTACAGTACAGACTCTGTAGTTGTTTTAGATGAAATAAGTATAACACAAGGATCAGTATATAAACAAATTATAATAGAAATTATTTAAAAAACTGAAGAAATCGGATTATGTACATATTCACGCCATAATTTCAGATATGAGTGCTTCAAATCAGACTATGTGGAGAGCATTTAATATTCAAGCACCAAAATGTTCAACAATATAAAATAAATGCATTCATCCATGAGACCAAAAGAGAATAGCTTTTCTTTTTTCATGATTGTATGTATGCATTCAAAAATTTCAAACAAAGAATGTTTAATTATGAATTTAAACCATCAGATAATTATGTAAAAAAGTATAATCAATAAATGTAACATAACCAGGAATAGGCTAAACATTATCAGGAATTATTTAATAAACAAAAGAATTTTTTATTATCAGTATGTCCAAAATTACGTGACAAATATTTTGATAGATCAAAACATTTTCAAAAAATGCGTGTAAAAAGTACTTATCATGTTTTAAGTTACGAAATAAGTACAGCATTAGAATATTTAGTTTCTAAAGATCCAAAACCAGAATATATATTTATCTCGTGGCTAACAAAATAAATAGCTCTGATTAAAATTATTACTAAATTATTATAACTAAATTATTACTAATTAAAAATAGTTAATAATAGAAATAATGAGGGGAATAAGTAAAAATAAATCTGAAAAGTTTAACAAAGTTATGAATTTTCTAAATGAATTTATCGAACTAATTTTATTGTTAACTTTTGGTAACAAAAATAATTGGAAATCATTTCAGAAAGCATAATATTAAGTACAAAATCGATAACTAAACTATCAACATATTTGTTAAACAATAAAAATTATAAATATGTTTTGATTGGTAGATTTACACAAGATTGCATCGAAAATTTATTTTCAGTATTTCCTGGTGAAAAAGTTTCGCTGAAATTATTCCACATTTTGGAACATTTCAGCGAAATTGCTGAAAATTTGCTGAAACTTTACTAAAAGTGAATTTTTCAGCTAACATATTGAAAAATCACTGAAATCCAACCGAAATTTCTCTGAAATTTTTGCTGAAATTTGCTGAAATTTGTCTGAAAATTTTGCTGAAATTTTTCTAAAATTTTGTCGAAAATGAATTTTTCAGCTAAAAATCACTGAAATTAAAATGAAATGAAAATTTTTTGAAATGTCAAAATTTTGTTGAAAAGTGTTCCAAAAAACGTGGAATAATTTTAGTAACATTTTTCCATCACGGTTATGTATGAAAAATTGTATATTAAATGCACTCTAATTTAAAAATAATCTAAAAAATAATCTAAAGTTAATCATCAGTATTTCACATTATATGACAAAATCAACTAGTAACTATAATGAAGATGATTAAGAACTTTTGCAAGGTTTTTTTATCTATTATTGAAAATAAAAGTAATGAATTGTCACAATAAAATTAAAACAATAACAATGAATTACCATAATCAAATCAAAGCAATGACAATGAATTACAAATAAAATAAGTAACGAACTCTCGAGAATGTCAAAATATAAAAAAAATTAATGGGCTAAGGAGTTATATGCGTGGTTATTAGTGCGAAAATAAAAGCATTTATTATCGAAAAACTATATAATTAATTACGCATAGACGTTTCGGACCATCATCAGTATGTCTAAACATTTGATGATGGCTCGAAGGCAAGCCGAAACGTCTATGTGTAATTAATTATAGATTTTTTTCGATAATAAACGTTTTTATTTTCGCGCGCACTAATAACCGCGCATATAACTCCCATTTATTTGTTTTTATACAATAAATTACCACAATCAAATCAAAGCAATGATAATTTTTCCTTAGGAAAAAGTTTTAATATACTGATTAATTATTCAGTAACTGATGATATTTCAACAATGATTGATGAAATATATCATCAGTTATTAAGTTAATCAGTATACTGAAACACTTTTTAAAGGATGACTTATCGCAATCTAATCAAAGCAATGATTTACAACAATCAAATGTTGAAAGTTTTAAGTTGAATAAAATAAATAAAAAAATTATTCTATGACGTGTTGAATTAAATATGTATTTTATATCACGTTGCTGGTCATATCATTTCAGTATAATTAAGACGTAAAAGATTTGTCATAATTGCATTAAATATGTCGGCAGTAAAATCAATTATCAATTTATCTAATTATAATAAATTAAATAGATTTAGATATAACATAAAAAAATGATACACTTTTTTTTACAAATAGCAAAACTTTTCAGTTTTTTCATGAAATGGAAAAAATGTTTAAAAGATATACATAAAGAAAATATTATATTAACTAATAATAATATTGATCTAAAACAATTATTTGAAGATAAGTTTAGCTATAATATATTTTATACTATATCAACATGTCGCAATATTAAGGGGAGAAATACATGTAAATGCTCGAAAATCAGTCATTTTTCGTGAATTATTTTGAGGGTGATAAAATAATTAAATCATTTTGCACTTTTGGCATAATTTAATGACATGTGTCAGGTAATTTAAAAAAATTTTTTTTGATACAAAATGGCGGCGGTACAGTCCCTCCACGAAGGCCGTTTTTGTGAAAGACGTAAAACGGCTGCCATCGCCCAGCTTTTTCTATTGGTCTGAAATCAAAAAACAAAACATATTTCGATTACTGATGAGTTTAGGCATAGAGTAAACCTATAAAATTGAGAAAAAGTACGAAATCAAAAATTTGGTACGCTTTTTAATAACAAATTCGTATTTTCGCCTATTTTTTCGACAGTTATTGCCCGCTTAAAATTTGCTTAATCATAATGTTTATAATTATAATATACTATATATCGGAAAAACATACGCATAATAATAGCTACTTGTAGTCATTAAAATGCTTATACTGTCAATAGTAGTAAAATGATAAGTTTAAATGTGCTTAAATTTGAGATAAAAACAGAGAATGCATGAAATGAATCCGGTTCTCTCTCTCTCTCTCTGTAGATAAAATATAATATACATAACTGAATTATGTCAGCGCAAGATTATATTTTTATATTACTGATATAATTTGTATGCAGTTACAGTATAGTTTAGATGCAAATATTATTTTCTTATGATAAATGTTAATATTTATGTTAAAATAATACAAATATTTAATAATTAGTTTGTGAAATGTACTTATGACTTTAATTATATTATAAAATTTATTTCTGTTTTATTTGTGATATACACTGCGTTCCACTTAACGCTCGCAACGCTCGCAAGCATCGTTTGTTGTTGTTTAACATTTGATAAACGATAAGGAAATGATTCCACGAGCGTTGTGAGCGTTAAATGGAATGCAGTCACTGATATGCATTGATTATGTAATAAAGTTTATTTCAATAAATAAATTTTTATTAATATTTTGTGTGTATTTTTACAGGTATCACGGATGTTTGACAATACATCACCTGGGAATTAAAATCCTTTTACAAAATGTTTACGGACATAACTCTTTGAGTGATAGTAATAAATACAATCGTTACTTTTATTAAAGTTGGGTACAAACTAGTTAATAAGTTAAAAATTATATAAAAAGTTAATAACTTTTAACTTAATTTAGCTTATATCAAATGAATTAATAAATTTTGACTTAATATAATTACTTTAAAACTTTGATTTATTAACATTTTTTTTTAAAGTTAAAATTTGTTTTATTTCTTTAAACATTAATATTTTTTTTATAAAATTTTAAATATTAAAGAATTAGTTAAAAAAAAACTAAGCATTTAGGAAATGATATCAGCGTTTATGTGGCTATAAAGTATGTCATTCTATTTTTATTTTACGTCTGATCACTGATACTATTTGCAAATATCTGTAAAACTCAGTTTTTTATTGCAAAAGAAAAATATATTGCTATATAAAAAAATATTTTTTTGTTTTTTCATATAATTTACAAATAAAATATTAAATTTATTTGATAATCTATATCTAACGTTTATATCTATATTGTAATTTTTTTTATTTAAAGTAATCTAATTTTAAGAAAAATTAGGTCATTTTGATTTAATAAAAATATTTGCCAAAATTAACTTTTCATTTAACTTCAGTTAATTCAATCTTAACGTAATTTTAACTGGGTTAGTTTTTTGTTCATGCAACTTTAAGGATATATCCACATAAACTTGCATAGCCGCAAAGAAAATTATCCAATCACATTTTACGTGCAACTTTGTAAGAAAAATGTGATTGAATAATTTTCTATATGCGACTATGCAAATTTGTGTGGATATATCATTAAGATCATGGCACACATCTTTTAACAGTAATCGTAAGAGGTAAGAATCAGCCAATTAGAATTAAGGGCTACCGCATACAAAATTCCATAACAGTATAAGGTATAAACTTAAGTCGATGAACCAATCAGGATACTGCTTTAGATTACGTAATGTAACGGAAATGGAAATAACAGTAAATTTATCCATAGCCTCACAATAAGGTGAATTTCAACCAGTTGAAACTCACCTTATGGATAAGTTTACTGCTATTTCTATTTCCGTTATAGTACGTAGATCTAAAGCAGTATCCTGAGCCCTTGGCTCATCGGTTTAAGTTCACGTCTTAAAGTTATTGTTACAGAAATTTTGCCTGCCGCAGTCCTAAGAATGAAATCATACGGTGCGGAAAAGGGCTGCGGAATAGAGAATACGTAATTGAAATAATCAATTAGCGTTATTCGAAATAACGTAGAATAACGCTGATTGATTGTTTTTATGAAGCATTCTCTATTCCGTAGTCGTTTTTTGCACCGTGTGATTTCACCTTAAGAGTACAACAAATTTGCATATAGCCGTATAAACGTATGCATAAAGAAAATTATCCAATCGCATTTCTTCTATAAAGATGCATTCAAAATGTGATTTTCTTTAATATATCCTAAGAGTTCAAAAGAATTCTCGACTGTGATTGGCTCATTCTTACTGTACGTCTTATAATTACTGTTACGGAAGGTGTATGTCATGGCCTTCAACGTAAGTAAATTAATTTTATAAGCCATTAATTTTAACTTAATTAAAAAAAATTAACTTACCTAACCTAGAATCCTAGATTTATAAAAGAAACAATTGGTAAGTGTTCTAATTGGCTATTGCAATCACATGATTTAGCAGCCCATCATGAACTGATTTCTGTGTATTAAAAATGACTGTCTAATGGATGATTGGTGAATTTCGTAGTTTGTCTTGCAAACGATGCTATTTTTTATATTTTTTCTGGAACTTTTGTGATACTGACATAAGTCAGTTGCGCTTCTTTGATAAATTTAGAACTCTAAAACGGGGAACATAGACTCTTGCATAATGCATAACACGTAATGTATAAGAAAATATATCAATTGAAGTCCTTCATTTCCTTCCTTTCTAAGGAATAAAGAACTTTGATTGGTTCAATTCCTTATGCCTCATGCGTTATGCAAAAATCTATATTTCCCGCTTAAGTGATAGCCACACAAATTTGCCGCATAAACGTATGTACGAGGGTGAATCAAATATTAACCGGAATTCTTTTTTAATATTTATTTATTTATAAAACAATACAAAAATACTATTGATTATTTTTCTACATAGTCTCCTTCACGCTCTACACATTTTTCCCAGCGGTTTGGAAGCTTGTTAATTCCTTGCTCGTAGAAACTTTGAAGTTGAGTCACCAACCAATTGCGCACGAATTCCTCAACATCTTGATCGTTGTCAAATCGCAATCCTCCAAGAGCATCTTTCTCGTCCACTCTTAAACTTTTTGGCCCAATCAAACACTTGAGTTTTAGACAGAGTATCATCCCCATACTGAACCTTCAATCGAGTCAAAATTTCGCACGGTTTAACGCCTTCCTTAGTTAAAAACTTTATTATAACCCGTTGTGCAACGGACGCTGGAACCTGTTGCTCACTCATAGCTGTACTGGCGAATTGACTGAGTCAAACAGCTCACCAAGCGTTTTCCCCACTCCTGATACACTACACTACAAGAACCCACACTGTGAGAGCGCTCGTGGTTGGCTAAGAAAAGTATTTGTAAAATTCCGGTTTATATTTGATCCACCCTCGTATAAAGAAAATTATCCAATCGCATTTTTCTTATTGTCCGTAACAATTTTAATATTCCAGTAATTATTTTTTGAACAGACTTGAAGTAGCACTGGCATCAAATCTCTAGAGACGTATCCTTCTCCTCGACACCTACAGCTGACAGAGCGGTCAATGGAAGGGGTTTTTAGGAACGTGTGCAAACTAAATGTGGAAGAGAAAGCAGAGTAGTGGGAGATGACTCAGTGTTGGGGCTCCTATACGTGAACCTACAGTCTGAGTGACTAACCGTCCCAAATTAGAAGGGACAATCTCAAATTTTAACACTTTGTCCCGCTTTACAATCCGTTCTAAATTTTTTCCTAAATTAAGGTTATAGTAATGAATTATTCCTCTTTTAACCTTTTAGGTATTATACGTCATTACAGTGACTTTCTCGAATACTATTTCTTCGAACGATATGTTGGTATTCATATGATAAATCGGCTGCAGACGTAATAAAAGACAAAATTTATTATTATTCATGAACACACTATGTATCTTTAATAAAAACCTTCCTTTTCTCCCTACAATTTTCTTAATATCATTATTAGGGCTTATAATACCATGAAATGTGTACGTCAGTTAAGACTGCTCAGCTTCACGCATGTGCACAGTTTCCTAGAGCAGACGAATTCTTGTCACCTCCCATCACTGAATAGCAGCGCGCGTCGTCTAGAGTGGACACGCGCGCAAACACCGGCTCCTTTGCTCAATCGCTCTAGTTTTAAGCGTTGTGCGCGAACCCTAATTCCAAGTTCGAATATAATTTTTCTTTCTGTTTTCAATTTCTAAATCTAAGAGTGTTAGAACTAACTACTAAATCTAGAATCATATGTTCCAACTTCTATAGTCGTAATTCTTTAATTTAATTAAGAAATAATTATACTTTTGCATAAAATTAATGAGTAGATCATCAATTAGTGTATCGTGTGAACTAATATTAAATTTACATTTAATTAATCAAATTCGAGTGAATCCTTTGGAATCTCCACTTTTCCTCGCTAAACCGTAATCTCGATAATATAATTGCTTTAAAGTTAGTGAAAAGTGATCGTCCGCCCTAGCAGCTTTAACGAGTCGACGATTGAATTTATCCAGGCAACTGCAGAAGTCTCGTTGCATCGACCATCTCTTTGGCATTTGAGAGCATCAGAGGACATCCAACTGAATATCTCTCAAGGTAAGAAAGCCTCTTCTGCATTTGTCAATTAAACTTCGCCGTCGATGAATCGCACGAAGCATATGCCCTCCATTCCCGCGTTGACGCGCTTCAGTCGATGCTCGGCTCCTATCAGTTAACCTGTACGTAGCGTGAGTACGTAATGGTTATTGTGCGTCCGCCTTGTTCTATCAATATAAACAGAGCGGAATAAGCAAATGCACTGAATGTTACACTGCGCTACTGATTTCCGAAAGGGAAAATTATTATCGAGTTTTGCGTCACTACATTCATTTGGGTTACCCCGAACGATTCGAAACTGTAACGCGTGCACTCTGGTATTAGTTACGCTTCGCGCGGTTGCAGCTTGCTTCAAATGTCCTAGAGTATTAAGGGCATCTTATCCATCTACATAAGTCACAAACACAGTTCGCAGACGCATTTGCGACAGCCAATCAGAAGCGTCAATGGTACTAAGAACAGCTTTTCATTCTGTGTTTGCGACTTATGTAGATGGTCCTTTAGAAAGATTCCTCATATTCTTGGGAGCAATGGAGGAGCGACCGTGAAATGAGAATCTATGATAATTGCTATATTCAGCGTTCGCATCTAGTCAATCAGTAAACCCTGACATGGACAAGCCTGCTCGTGGCTTCGTTCGACGCGAATGGAATCGCGAGTTTCCTATCTCATTCACAGCCTCAGGTTGGTTTGAAACCGAGGGTTGGCTGGACCACCCTGAGACGTAACACTTATAAAGACATGTAAAATGTGATTGGATAATTTTCTTTATGCATACGTTTATGTGGCTATGCAAGTTGTGTAGATATACCCTAAGGCCTGTTCTATAATAGAGTCGTAAGCGGTAAGCCGTAAGAAATTAACTAATAATAGTCAATTATTCTTGTCACACTTAACTGTGATTAGTCAATTTCTTACAGTTTATGTCGTGTGAGCCTATTGTAGAACAGGCATTAGAGCCTCAGCACACGAATTTCTATAACCGTAAGCATAAGATATAACGTAAGAATTAGCCAATGGATAAATATATAAAACCAATCGTAAGCGTTTGTAGTTTCTGAGACATAAATTTAAGCCGATAAGCCAACCAAAATATTACTTTAAATGGAAATAATATTATAATAATCGGTTGTGTAGGAAAATTTGAGAATAAGAAGAATAGAAATAAGAGAAGAAAGAACAAAAATTAAGATAAGTAAATAATATAAAACTTAAAAATTTAGTATTAATATATATATGTATTTAATATATTTTATTTAATTTATTTTTAAAATTGTTATTAAAGATTCTCTCAAAAGTGAAAGTGAGGTTATTTGCTATATGTTTACAAAAAAAATATGTATATTATTAATTTTGCATGTTTTTATTTTGTGTATAATATGAAATATTAAAAGATGATAAGCTTCTATTGGGATATTATAAAGATATTTATATTTTTTTATTTCAACATTTATTATTTGCTATCAAGTCAATTTGTTAATAATATTTTAGTAAATCTTAAGTGTTACGTCCAAGCTCCGCATGCATGGAACTGAGGGAGTGAACGCAACAAGAATCGATATTAGACCGATTTGGTCGTGTCCAGGCTCCGGACCGCAAGAGAGCAGTGGGGAAGGACCGACTCAAATCAGGAGGCACTTCGCTTCGTCCTGAGATTCCTAACGAGCCGGGGGTCGAATGGAGAACGAAGTGGAAATCTCAACTCCACTAAATAGACACACGAATCGGACGTACTTTTAATTTAAAGGGCTCAAACTGGATCAGTGTGCCGAGAGAGCGCACTTCAATGCCAGATGTGTCAGTACGTCCGTTTGCCCTGGCTTTCGGTCATGGAACTTAATCCAAGTGACCGGGGAGAGGGCGAAGTGCAACCACGGGAAAGTTAATGAATATAAGGAGAGGTTTTATTTAAATTATTATAATATTGACAATCGAAAGTTTAATTTAATAAATCTATAATAAAAGGCAATATTTGATGATACATTTTCTTTAAGTAATAAAATAAAAAAAAAATACAATTTTTGGTTCTCTATTCTAAAATATATGTACGCATTTATGTTTGTGTGAATGTGTGTGCGTACGTGCGTGCGTGTGTGTGTGTGTGTGTGTGAAAAAGGAATTGCAATGCGAATATTATTTTAAGTATGAAGAATTTGAAAGGAAGAGGGGAAAATTAAAGTTGCGTAGGGTCATATGGTTGGAAGGAAAGAGAATCGATGAGAATGAAGGATGGCATGGGGACTGAAAATAGACAATCGCATCCCGCGATGCTCACTATTACTCGGGCATTAGTGCAAGAGGTAAAATAGGACATATATTCTAATAATTGGTGGGCGTTATGAAAGAGGAAAGGAAGGTGAGGGGGAGAGTAAGCATCGATTTGAACGTGAGGAATTGAGAGGGTGGTATGCGAGGCGGGAAGTTCTTTAATCGGGGATGGTGATGCCGGATGTGGAACAGAGGGAGGACTGGACGGGAAGAGATCATCAAAGAAGTCTGGAGATAGATCGGAAATAGGGGAGTAAGATATTTCTCGTGGTGGATAGAGTTGTAACTGGAGACTGAGTGGCCGGAGCCTGCTCTTGGACCAATGGTTAAATTAACGAAGATTGCTTCCGCGAGTTTTTCGACCTTAAAGCGGACACGGGCGGAGAGTCGGCGCGGATTGTTAGTCTCTGCTAGGTGACGGAGGGCGAAAGAACTGCGTGAACGCACTAAAAATTTAGTCGTTTTTTAAAGGGGAACCACACAAGAAGGGGAGAGGCCATTCAATGTACTACAGCAAAATCAAAAACTGCTCGGAGATAGCGATGTGTAGGGTACTCAAGAAATCGATGGAGAGGGTGCCATCGACCGTGGGATGCTGTGCCTCAGATCCGGTTCGTCAATTTCCCTGATCAAGGAATGCCGAGCTTGAGTTGATGCACTGACTCTACTGGAGGAAAAGGGCTTCGAGAATCGAATGAAGCCTTTTTCAAAGATCGCGACAACCGTAGTTTCCCAAAACTCAAAGAAAAATTACTCCGAGGGCCGTGGAACCGCGATTTTTATACTAATCGCCCCTGATTACTCAGATTCAGATTGGTGGAATAGATTTCGTTAACTAGTAGTAAGATTTTTCTTTGCTCTCGGATTGGTCAAAATCTTAGAGGATGTTGACCGAAATCTGTAGTGCGGAAAAGTATTCTCCAAAATTTTACGATCTTAAAATTTATGAGAAAACGCACGTGCAGTGTGTTAAGAAGGCGCATCGTCGCCACGAGACTACACGAGAATCTATCCCTAAACATCGCGTGCCTTTTCTTAGATTTTGTGATCACGGATTCGTGAGAATCATCCGCGACTTGACCGTAAAAAAAATATCTTGGCGCCGATCTTACGCATCCAATACATATTTATTATTAATTTAGCCGCAGTGTCCTAGGGGCACAGACTCGGTGTCTTTTGGGTCCCGCCGCTTGTGCACGCGTACCGATTTTGAGTTTATCTCGGAGCGATATTTACGAGGAGATACTGGATTCTTCGTTTTAGTTTTTAGTGTGGAAAAAGAAAAATGTTTAGTTTCTCTAGACTATAACGCTCCACTTGTGCGTTATTCGCAGATATCTTTTTTATTTCAACGAATTCCAGATCTCCACGAAAGAAAAGAGTGCGAGTCGTGCGAGTCCACTGGACGTAACATAAGCAATATTATAAAGATTAATCTTCTAATTTATATTGACATGTTATTCTGTATATATAATGATATTATTAATAAAATACAATTTTTATAAAAATATATTAGATATAGTATTATAAATTTTTAAATATTTGTTTGAAATTACAGCAACTTCTCTATACAAGCATATTATTATCTGGGTATACAAGATGCATCAAATTTTGTTATAACATATTATAATTCATTTCTTTCAAGTTTTTGTTTTCCAATAAAGTTATTAGAAAATAACTTATTAGAAATTAAGAAATAAAATACTGATATATTTATATTTGTAGCAATGAATAA